CCCCAAAACCCCAAAACCCCAAAACCCCTGCTATTAATTATTTACTTGAAAGATACTTTATATAAATAAATTAGTAAGATGTCATACTATGAAGATAGAAGGAATCCATTTTATGGAAAACAGAATACTATAAATAGCTTTCAGCCCAGTAGAACAATGACTAACTCAAGAGAGAACTACAATAGAACTCATAGTCTTGTAAATCCTTTTAGTCGAAGTAAGTTAAAGACTTAATCGCAGCTTGATATCTCTCTGGCACTATAATTCTTGCTTAAAACCAGAGCTTTAGGATAATTTACTCAGAGCCTACCCATCAGAAAAGCAGATAGATTTGATTGTTAGCGCCAATCTACATTCTTGAGTTTACTTTTTCACTTAGAAAATATGATACAATGAGGGTTCCAGATTACCAAGAGCTTAGCTTCTTTCTAAATTCTCACCGTCCAATAATAGAATAGAGTCCAATTTGTGTAGTTTTTAGTGAAGAAATTCCAAAGATTTCTAAATCTGGATTATTTTCTGGAAGAATCCCTTGAAGGCTTGATATTGTTCATGAAGACCGAATAGCTTTCATCAAAATTTCATTTATTAGTCAAATCTGAAGGTTTAAACACAGAACAGAATGAGAATGTTCGTCTTAGATTTTGACATTAGATCGGGAAACTTATATCATGATGTATTAGTTGTATTTTAGTTTCTATTCTTTCTGATTTTTGACGAGTTTATATAGACAACTCAAGTGAAAACAATAATGGGCAACACAGTTCAACACTTAGCTTTGGTCGCTCAATGGGCATCAGCAATAAAGATCACTTTAATAAGGAAGCGGAGAAAGAAAAGCATATACAAGAGGTTCTTGAGCAAGGAACTTGGGGAGTTGAGGAACTCAAAGATATGGAAGATAATGATTATTTGGCGGCTTTAAATGATTTAAAAGAAGAGAATAATTACAATTCTTCTAGGAGATATCCCTACCCTTCAAGTTCTGCTAATTTCTCAAAATCAAAAAGTATTTTAGTGATAATCATCTGCTTTAGACTTAATAACTTTCCAGTGTATCACAAAGATGGAAAAATTTGAAACTTTTTGCCTCGAGGAGCTTAGAGTCATTGATTATATGAATGGAAACGATCGGAAGCCTCCTTCAAGCACCTCAAGGTATAGATCCTATCTAGACCAACCTCAGAATTCGACTAGGAGTAATCTTGGTTTCGGGCAGCAGAGGAATCCTACAAGTAACCCCTTCAATAAGTCAACAGGTGGTTTCACTAGTACGCCAAAGACATGGTAAGTACACAAGAGATTAGTGTTTTGTGCTAGTCATGGAATTTTGTGGTATTAGAATTTGAGCCATTAAGGATTACTGGGTTCGTCCTTCAGGCTGATAAATAGTGTATTACAACCTTCAAAATCAGGGGGAAATTGATTAGATCCTCTTTGATGCTAATCTGGATTACTTATGCGGAATTTGGCTATGAAAGCTTCTATTTTTGGCTATAATTTAGGAGATTATTTCCTTCAGCTTAAGTTTACTGGACAAGATTTTCAGTTTTAGACTAATCGATGTAGTCTAGTTTAGGGCATGCTAAATTCAGTGGATTGTGATACTTAGGCTTCACCAGTACCTTCTTGGGCTGACTAGGAAGAGGAAGAAATTGAGAGTAGGAAGGAAGGCCACTGGAGGAGAAGTGGGATTTTGGAAGAGAAGGAGATTTTTTAGGGGTGAGGAAAGGAAGGAGGAGGGGGGAGGATTTTTAGGGGATGGGGAAGGGGAGATGGGGGTTTTGGGGATGGTAAGGGGTGGTATGTGGAGGAAGGGGTTAGTGGGGGTGAAGGGAGTAGGGGGTGTTGGGAAGTGTTCAGACGTGTTTGGGAGGAATTAGAAGGGAGTCCAGGCATGGTTGGGTTTAGATAAGGCTATGATTTATTGCAGGATAAGGAACCTGGATACACCTTGTTCTTGCTTGGTATCATCTAGAAGGCATAGCCTCTGTACGGATGCCTCTAATAATTTGTTCCCTAATGGAATTGTGATACTCACTTAAAAACCTCTGTTCAGCTAATTTTTCTTCTTTTTCGGTCAAATTTTTAATCCGAATTTTTAAAAGATTTTTGTTCAGTGAAGAAGATATTTTAGATTTTGTACGGATATAAATGTGTTTAGGAGAAACGAAGATGAAGGAATGAGTAGGAAAAGTAGGATTGGAGGAAGAAGTCCCTGGGGTGAGAAAGGAAGAATGGGTGCTTTTGGAGAGGAAAAAGAGAACAAGAACGTTTTTAACTGCAGGGAGGAGGAAAAGAACTGATTTGGGAAGAATACTGGCGGAAAGAGTTGGGGTGGGAATGATCTGTTTAATAAAAGTTCAGTAAGAAGAAGTGAATTTGAGCAAAAACCAAAAACTGCGAATATGTTTGGGAAAATTAATGACTTAAAGTCTCCCTTTGGTAAGCCCAAAGAGATGAGTTCAAGCTCAGTACAGCAAAAGAGTCCATTTGGGTATGCAAAGGCTGTTGTAAATATCTCAAAGCCAAATAAGTTTATGCCAAGCTCAACTAATGTTAATATTTCTATGAACAATCAAGTTTCTGGATCAATGGTTAACCCTAAGCCTTCTACCTCAGATTTCCACATGATGCACAAGGCTATTTCTCAGAACCCCTATGGATTACCTAACCAAAGTAACCAAGTTTTAAAAGACATAAACAGTCAATTTTACAGTCAAATGTAAGTATGGGTATTCTCACTACATAGATGTGAAGAGCCTCTTCCTTTCTCAGAGGTATATGACATTGATAAACCAGTAAATATGAAATTTGGGTACAAACCTGCCCCTGTAGACCTCACTAAACCATTCACAGGATCAGTAGACTCAGAGAGGATCAAGAGAACTCTGACTGAACAGACTAAATCTGAATATGCTGACTGCTTGAAGCCAAGAGATAATTTCAGGGCTCGCAATTCAGTGTCAAAATTAAGCTACTTAGCAACAGATCTGTCCGAGAGCCAAAAGGAGCCTCTAAGTACGTCAAACGGGTTATATGAACAATTTTTACGGTTAAAGGTCGTTATACCAGTTAATAACATTTATAGGCTTTGATTTAAAGGAAACAGAGGAGTTGATCAAACACTACACCCAGAGAAAACCAAGAGGTTCATATAACCAAATAAAAATATCACAAATCAAAGTTGTCACCCCAGGAATCAATAAAAAGCCTAAACTTCCTAGAAATTGAATTGAAGTCAACCTCCAGTGCCAAGTTGGAGACAACCAGGAAGTTTTACCACCTATCAGGGCAAAAATCAGTAGAACTATTGGGGATGTCATCGAGACTGCTGTCCAGATGCTTGGCAAAAAGTACTATGGGATCCATGCTAAAAACTGAAGCATCATAAAAGGAAGTAGCATATTACTCAATGAATACAAAATTTCTGAGTGAAATATATCCCAAGACGAACCTCTCAAAATGGTTGTCTGAGCTGATAAGCAAGTTATTAGGCTAGAGGATGATACCGAGAAAGTCCTTTCAAATCAGCTGGTTGACCTAGACTTAGTAAAAGGCCTAAAAGTTGACTGTTTAAGCACCAAGCCAAGCTTTGATGAAATGATCAGAATGACAACTGAAAAAGCCCAGAAGGTAGAGCATTTTAAGATATATAATGATTATGGAAGAGTAATCTGGGAAGGAAAAATAGACATTGTGTCTATTCTAAACTCTAAAAGTCATACATTCTCATCTCTCAGTGAAATTATACAACTAAGACATTCTTCTCTCTCGATTTATGAGGATGAAGGAACAAAACCTCCAAAAGGAGAAGGACTTAACAAGCCTTGTGTCATTACTCTTTATGATCTTTATCCTTGTGAGATCAAGGCTGAATTAGAGCAAGGAAAAATTTTGAGTAATGAGCAGACCAAAATATATGACCAGTTCAGAACTACTCTCAGAGACGGAATTCGCCAAAAAGGAGGAGTCTTTTTGTCTTATAAAGGCAGTAAAGGAGAGCTGATATTTTCAGTTGAGCATTTCTAATTGCTAAATTCATTTAAATATTTTGTATCTGGGGTTTTGGGGTTTTGGGGTTTTGGGG